TTTTACTTCAGTGTGATATTAATGATATTGTTCAATACTTTTCACATTCTGTTGGATCACCTTTCTTTGGGATGGGTTCAGATATGGATCTGCAATGACTTGCTTGATGTGGCCCTTCTAGCCATTGTCCTCCATTCTGTGATGTATTGTAAATCCTATTTCCATGCCTGTTTTGGGTGGTGTGGTCAGGTGTCAACTTGGCTGGGTAGCTGGTAGTAGTCGTTCCCTGTCATGACTAGCAATTGGCTCTGTGGTGGGATTTGCCCTCAGCTGCTGATAAAGCCATCCACTTGGGTTATTTCTGTTGGAGCAACACAGGAGGAATGTATCTTGATCCCCGCCTTGCTGGAGGGTATAATTCAAATTACCACCCTTAGCTTCCTTGAAGGTATACCTACAAATCTCCTGGGAAGGTTCACCCTCCTCTTGCTCTAGTTCTGTGTTTTGGCTCATCCTCATCTCACCCCTGGATTTGGGACAGCAGCCGTCATCTGATCTGCTGATCGCGGTTCATCAAACCCTGAGAATTGAGAGGATCCTCCAGACCCACTCATGGACCTGGGACTCGCCAGCCTGCCAGCCTCCACCACTACTACGTGAGACGATCCCTTGGGCGTCTGGGAGTCTGTGAGGTGTTAGAGTGAAATACAGAACCCTAAGATGGGTGAAATTACTGGGAGAAGGAAAAGGAGTCAGTGTCTGAAATGATGGAGTGGCATGGTACTTTGGACATTTGGGAAATCTTTAACCTCCGCTTCATGGGGATGGGCCTTGTGCTGATCTTTCTGAGAGAAATTGTTCAAGCAGCATCTCAATTCTTATATCATCTTTTAAAAAAAATACATTATGCCCAGTTTACATATGAAAAAACTGAGATTTTCAAAGGTTAATCTTGTCTGAAGGATCCTTGGTAACACAGTGGTTAAAGTGCTCAGCAGCTAACTGAAAGGTCAATTCAAACTTACCAGCTGCTTCATGGGAGAAGGAAGGGGCAATCTGCTTCCATAAAGATTTATAGCTGTGGTAACCCTACGGGGCAGTTCTACTCTGTCCTATAAGGTAGGGTCACAATGAGTCGAAATTCAATGGGTCAGCATAAGTTTGGTTTTGAGGTTTGAAAGTAAAATAGGAAATCAAGGGCAGAGCTAACATTTTAATTTAGGTTGATTCATTTTTTAGTTTAGTGTGCTTTCTTCTACCTCAATTAGACTTTTGTTGTTGTTGTTGTTAAGTGCCGTCGAGTCGTTTCCGACTCATAGCGACCCCATGCACAGCAGAACGAAACACTGCCCGATCCCGTGCCAGCCCCACAATCCCTGCTATACTTGAGCCCATCATGGCAGCCACCGTGTCAATCCATCTCTTTGAAGGCCTCCCCCT